GCCGGATTTCTCGTATTAACATGGGCTACAGGCGGCGAACAAGAGTAAAAGATTAAATGTGGAAATTTCATGGGGTAAACTCAATGCGGTAATTAGCCGGCCCCATCAGAGATGCTACGGTAAACTCGCCGGCACTCTGGCCGCTCGAGGCATGTTGGAGTTGGATGTGCGACGGAAAGGTCAAATCAAGTCTTTATCAGGGAGGCAAGCAAAGAAGTGCTTGAAGGCCGCAGAAAATTGGCTAAGTTCCTCCATGACCTTTAATGGAAATTTGAAGAGAAGTCGGATGACCTTTGGGACCGTTACCGCCCAAGAGTCATCATAGGAATTCAAGTCGCATGACCTTTGGGACCATTAACCCAAAACGAGTCGCACATCTCAACTGATCATCTCAGCAAGGATGACCTTTATCAGGGAGGAAGCGAACTACGCTTGTCTACAAGACGTCCCTCCATGACCTTTATGGATCTCATTTAAAGTCGTACAATTGATACGCACCTTATTCCAAAGATTGAGTGAAGCAGTATTCCTAAGTCGTACTTGATACGCACCTGATTCTCAAGCGGATTGTGATGAAGTCGCATTACGGATGCGCAGGATTGCTCAACAGAGCGGAATGGGCCAAAGTGCGGAAAACGGTGGACAGGACCTGTGACCTTTACGAGTCAGAAATGGAGGATCCTAGTCTACATTTGATTAAAACTTTTGTTGATCTGTTCCTAATGATTTGATAGTATTTTTATAATTGGATCTCTTTATTCACATTGTATTAAATGGAATTGTGCCTTTATGGAATTGATGTGATAAAATGGATTAAGAGAATTTGATGTTTTTGAGCACGCACAGACACTGGCGACCGTCGTTTTCGTGGATTCGGGAGTGTGTCCAGCCTCACAGGAGCTCGGCATCCCCCCAGAGGCATGTGAGCGGGGTTCACTAGCGTTCACGCTCGTGACGCTACTCGCCACTGGATTACGTGTCTGTGTTGTGTCTCGCCTCTGATTGGCTTATGTTTTGTTAGTGGGCGCGGCATAGCACGTGCTGCACAGTGTTACACAGTGTGGAATTGGCTCCACGTTTTACGATCGAGCTGCGCCGATCATTATTGATTTTCTGTTGTCGGAATTCTCAATATTATAAAAAGTCAGCAATTAGCGGTGCGACGTTTCGTGATTCCGTGTAGTTCGCAATCCAGATCGCATTGCTCACTTCCACGGGATCTATTCCGTTTAGGTCTCCGTATCTGGATCACAGTTGGATCTAGCTTTAGACCTGTCTTCATCCGCATGGAATTGCTGGTTGTGCAGCCGCTCATTTGACAGCGCTTTCTCATCATCCGAACTGTCAAGGTCGTCTTCCGTATAGGGTGAGACTTTACCAGGGCTAAGCTTCTGTCTCTCATGTCGGAAGGCCATTGCCTACAGTTAAAACCAAGAATGACATGACACCTGTTCAAGATGTTTCGAAATTACACTCCGTCTGAAACGACCGGGCACGAATCATGTTGTACTTATTCCTCTCTTTCACGTTTAAAAACTAGATTAAAAAATGGTAGGGCAAAATTTAAGGCTGCCGTTTCGGCGGCCCCGGTCGTTTCGGACGGTTTAGAGGCCAAAAGCGACCCGCGGTCGTTTCAGACGACTAGTGGTTTTGGACGGTTACAATCGTGACTCTAGTGTCCGGCAAGCAAATTTTGAAGGCGGAGAACGCCGAAGTAGGTAGTTTCCCGACAGCAACTCACCACATCTTCATCTGTCATCACACTCGCGCGGCCCGATCGGACATAATTCATCGTCTGGCTGCGAATGCTGAAAAATCGTATAGAGCACAGTTTTCCGAGCAGCGACTCCGCCATAGACGGATTGCGAGTCCATTCCGTCCAGTAGCCATCCGGGACCCTGCAGGTACCCATCACAAAATCGCCCGATTTTACAAGACCTCGCCGGAAGGTTTCTTTCGACAACGGCCATCGGATCTGACAGTGAGGAACTAGTTCACAAGAACGATATTCGGCCCGCGCCACTTCCACCATAGCGTAGCCGTCTAGACTTCCGGCCTCGAACGAGTGGATCACTTTGCCGGGATACCATGTCCGAGGGCGATCCTCATGATCGTGCAGCAGCACCAGCACCTCCATGCCAGCCTCTATGTTATCTGGTTCATCGTCATAGCTGCCATCGATTACCGTTCCGTACTCAACCAGGACCGATCGCTGCTGCGGACAGCAGAAATCCACGATCAGACGCGGCGGAGTGCTGCTTTTCTCCTCCATGGCAACGACATAGCCGCGCTGCAGCAACCCATTAATCTCCACATCCACCGCGCTCCACGCATACCGAAATGACCGTTTATACAATTGCATTCTGATATTGTCACTTGAATTAAGCCTGGTCAACTGTCAGTGCGTTATCTGCAAACGGGCAAAAATATCTAGAATAACAGACTCGAAATGCGCTCCTATCGCTACCAAGGATCAAACAACAGTAAACCACGAAATCAGAAAGACATGGAATAACACGAAGTTCTTGCTCACCGAAAATCCATAGAACGCAGACGTGTCACTAGAAGTTCAATCTCCGAGAAAACAGCAACATGAGTACAGTATCTTGACTCACTTAAACAAACACGTGAAAGGGAAATCAAAGCTCCTGGAGATCGAAAGTATCAGATTTCGTTTTCCAGCGGTTTTTACATAACGGAATTCAATTCCGTGACACGTTTGCGTGGAATGTGGATTGTGGAACCCATTCACGCTCAGACATGCCGTGCACATTAACAGGTAACTGCTGCTACGTGGGCTCATGGCCATGTACAGTACTAACAGTAGCATGAAAATAAACTGATCATGGACCACAGTACACAACAGAAACAGCCTTTTATTGCACTGGAGGTAGAAACAAGAACATCAAGTATGTAACCGGAGAACCGCCGGACGGATGAACCGTTCGTCGTAACTTTTGTCTACCGAGTTTTTTCCACTTTTCTTACATCAGTGGGGATCATTCACGTGGAGGTTTCAGCTGATGAGGTCATCGATGAACTGAACAGCAGGTGTCAGAGAGCGCGAAGAGAGAATTGCTAATGTCAAAGTTTGGACCTGCAAATGGGAAGACGGATTCCCTGCGACTGTTGGGTAAGGAAGGCTCGGGCAAAATAACTTTTCTATGGCTACCGATCAATGTGTCCTAGCTAAAACCGTTGCCAACTGGTGCACCTGGTGGAGGACCGCCGTGTGGAACCCGAGACGGATTTTCGACTGATGTACAATTATGAAGGTGTACGAAGAAAGCAAAAAGCGCCAACTGAGCACCACGCCCATCACGCACCACGACGACCTGCAACCGCTTATGCGGCAGCGGGAGGACGGCGGGATTCAGCCCTTCCAGTTCCTCATGAACGGTCAGGGTCAGCAGTTCCACGTGGAAAAGGAGAACTCGCACAAAATGGAGGCGCTGTTCCGCCTTTTCTACACCTACGCGAGAAGAATACGCGAGAGACCGGCTCAAACTCATGAACAAGACAACGCTTCACGAGTTCAAATAAGATCCCTGGTTGTTTTTGGGCTGCCGGCTTAATACTTTGAGTGGTCACGTGTCGAGCAGCGTAGACGATCGAGCAGCGTAGAATTTCGGTATATAAAATAATAACAAAAGCGTGAAATACTTCTTATTAGTGTAGCTGGCTTGATTGCGGCGCAGAGGGTGCGCGCTGAAACCGTTTTCAGGTTTGCACATAAAATGCATACGAGTCGTACATGACATTCGGTTACATGTACGGAAAGTGATAAGACGATAGTACGAGAAATTTGCTGTACATGAATGTTTCGGCGCCGACGTATATACTCGTAACTCTGCTCGCCTCTTGGCTCACCGGAGTCGTGTGCCTGGTTATCTGCTTCATTGGTTTCAATTTTTGGAAATTTACTAGAAAACGCTCACTTACACATTGCCTTGGCGCGGCGGTTGAGAGCTCCTGTCTGGGAAAAGCATGTTTGCCGTTGCAGTAACAACGTAGACGGTGCGACAAAGCGGGTGTTAAATTCGGTAAAAGTGTCTTAGGCATTAGAGCCGGCGGGCTTAGACAGAGGCGATGGAAAGCGGCCAGACGGAATGATAGCTTTCCCATAGAGAAATGGAAAGCCGCTAGTGTGGGTTGTTTCCGTGGCAGACACATTTGCCCAAATACACACTGCGCAGATGTCGAGGGTACCAGGGAATGCAGCGGAAATACGGGAAAACCGAAAGTTACGAAAGTCTAACGGGCTGGTAGACCGTTACATCATTCAACCATTGGCGTTCGAAACTACGGGTACACGGGGTCCACTAAAGAAGCAATTCTTCAAAGAGCGGGTTAGAAAGATTTTCGACAGCACAGGCAACCCTCGTTCAGGAGAGCTTTTACCGATCTACTTTTTGCATCCTGGCCGAAAAGTTACCTAATCACATTTTTGTATTCAGCTTCTTTTGTTTCCATTTTCCATCGCCGATATATTTTCTTATGGTTAGCTGCGTGAAACTGGCTGCGTTTGCATTGACCAATGAGAAAAACAACGTATCTCTAGCACTAGGCAGCCATTTTGCGTAATAACGAGACACAATGGGCCGCAGAGTTAGTTCTTTTAGTTAAAAAGATTAGCGTGATCCATTTAAGGACCACTACTAAGTTTTGAAATGTTACTCTTTTAAAGTTACGGAAAAATGTATAAACTGTAACTTAATCAACCCTCGGTGGATACCGCTGCGGTGGCTGCGCGTGACGCGCCGCGTTCGTTGCTAGTACTGCTGACTACGGCATAGGTAACTATAGTCTAAAACTAAAATTAAACCTTGGTATGAGAACAGCCGATGCCGAAATCAAAGCCAGCTTAGCCAAGTGTCATCATGCGATACTGGTTATTTATAAACTGAAGAGCGTCCATGCGGGATTGTACAGAGGCGATTTTGACCATAATTATTCTAGGAAAGGCTTTTAAACCGAGAAGCTTACAAAGCTGCAAATCTTTAGCAAGCTCAATGAGGTACAATATGTAAAACTAAGTGCTGAAAAAAAACAAAGTAGTGCAAGATTATCCCATTTTGTTGCCACAAAACTAAAGCAAACTCAGCCAAGCAGAAGTACAACAGCACAAGGAAGGATTCTGTCCGTCTATTCCTATTCCTTCGGGATTCATGGTTTACAGCGGAAATATAGACTGAACTCGACAAGTGGGCTATATTGGCTAATCGTCTTCCAAGCTGTCACTGGATTCCTCGCTTCCAGACTCTTCATACAAACTCACGTAGTCTGACAAGGCAAACAGGCAGAATTTATTCAGCTTCCGCACTTTCACTTCAGCCAGATTGTCCAACGTCCACTTGTGTCCGCAATAATGCGCGGACGCTCGCGGGTCACAGGCTTGATAATCCTTCAGAATCTGCAGAAATTACTGGGATTTGTATTTCACGCACAAACACAACGAGAAACTCTAAGACTTATGCCGAAACAGATAGCTAAGATTCTTTCCGAAAATACTAAATGCTGCAACGGTAAACCACGTTAAGAACCCAGGAGAAGTAAACACAACAGTGACAACCTTAAGAACCCACACAGTACTCGTATGCGTAATTTCTAGCGCATCAACGTAGCGACAAATATGAATTAACAGATTACTCTTAACTCCATATTACCGCGCGCCACGCCACACTGGTTGCGCTGTACACGCCAACTGGCGTACCTAGCGCTGATGCAAGATTACAAACGATCCATACAGAAAATAAAAGAATAACTACTCTCCTCCCTCGGATATCAAGACGAGTGAATTTCTCAATGTGGTTGGCGTTGTAATGGCAACCGTTCGTAGCGCAAACTCCGCGTGAACTTGTTATCTGTATCTTCTACATTTGTACAGTTGCTCACCCTTTTCACTTCTTTTGCTCTCGCACGACTGTCAGTCGAATTGGCTATGAAGTCTGCAATGTCCTGCGCATCGTACTGCCATCCATCACAACAATGCTGCTCGAACACATCCCACATCTGTGCCTCATCGATCTTGTCCGGCGTGAAGACAGTAAAGGGAATGCGAAATTTCATAAACACACCCTCATATTCGTTTTGACAGTCCAGCGAATAATGTGCCCAAATTAAGCGGTCACAGCGCGACGCCAGCTGGGAATTTAGCGCCACCGCATCAGCCAAAAACATGCGCAAATCAAAGACGCTACCCCGATAAATCGGGATGGTTAGTGATCGCCCGTACTCTATCCAGCGGTGCACGCGAAGGCCGGCGCTGTCCAGGATGTTCTTTGCCAACCCGATGGCTTCGTGGGCAGCCGTCAAATTTTCCCGTTCGTCACAGAAGGTTTCCGTTGGATAAAATAAACACACTGTGCGCGTCAAGGCCGTGACATACTTGAAGAGACAAACGCACACCACGTAGTGATATTGACGGCTATTCCCCTCTGCACCATACGGTTCAATCAAGTCCAAACCATAGTCTTGTCGTGAGATACGGACGTCTTGGCACAAATCCGCAGACGTCAGCAGCGTCTCCCACAGTTGACAGGTGCGACGGCAGCGCTGCCGGTCAACGGTGTCCACCAACAGAAAGATTTCTTTCAGCAACTCCAATGGCAACCTCAACTTGTTTTTATCCGCACGGAAGTGACGGAACCACTGCTTGCACGGCAGCGCATTCGACATCTTTTCCACAGCGGGCGAACTATCAACGTCGTGATCTTTACGGGACGAAACTTCACTAAGTTTCTGCCGTTCAAGTTCGAATTCTCTTGCCTGCAGTTAAAAAATGAAAATTCTTTGTGATGAGTTGTGTTGCAGCTGTTCCCTCGACTCTTAACTGTACGATACTTCCAGGTTTTTCGTAAATCGGACATTTTAAACTCAAAGTTTTGCATGCCGGACACGAGAAACACGGTATTCCCTGCGTTATTCCACATTACAAACCCAATAAATTTTTTTATCCCGTGTACAAGCGTGTATGCATTGTGCAATCACCAACTATAACGCTTAAACAATTTTGGAAAGATTTCTGTCATATGGAATAATGCGGAGAATATCGTGTCTCGGGTGTCTGGTTCGCGAATTTCGAAGGCGAAGAACGCCGACACAACCTACCACATCTTCATCGGTCAAAGCATAGGTGTAGCGCACTCGGACATAATTCATCGCCTGGCTGCGAACGTTGAAAAATCGTACAGAATGTCTATACAGATTTTCGAGCAGCGACTCCGCCCTAGACGGATTGCGAGTCCATTCCGTCCAATAGCCATCAGGTACCCGGCACGTGCCCACCACAAAATCTCCCGGTTTAACAAGACGCTCATAGCAAGGGTCTTTCGACAACGGCAACTGGATCTGATTGCAGAGAACCAGTTCGCAGGAACGATATCCGGCCCTCGTCACCTCCACCGTAGCGTAGTCTTCTAGGCTTCCGTTCCCGAACGAGTGGAGAACTTTTCCGGGATACCATGACCAACGATCCTGATGGTCTCGCAGCAGCACCAACACCTCCGTGCCAGACCCTTCACTCGCTCTCCAGGAGCTGATGCCTGTCGTTACTTTCCCGTACTCAACCAGAACCGATCGTTGTTCCGGCCCTTGGAAATCAACGATGAGACGCGGCGGAGTGGTACCGTTCTCTTCCATGCCGACGACATGGCCGCGCTGGAGTTGACCGTCAATCTCCACATCCACAGTATTCCACGCGTACCGTCTCGACAACTCGTACAGATGCATTCCGATTTTTGTCGTCTTCAGTGGCAAAACGGTAAACCTGGACAATAGTCAGTGCGTCATCTGTAACTGGGCAACATTATCTAGATGCGAAATGCGCTTCCTGCAGCTCTGATTACACTAAACTACAAAGTACAAGGAAGCTTTGGGCAGAAAAGATAGAGAATAACCTAAACTATAAGTTCTTGCTCACCTAAAATTGAGAGAACGCAGACCAGTCTACCAATCTGTGAATCTACGTGAGAAGAACAATCAATATCTCAAGCGATCAAATCGAGTGAAAAAGACTTGTAATAGAAATTAAAATCATGGAGATCGAAAGTACCCGATTTCGTACTCTAGCGAGCTTTCTGCAGTACGAAACGAACGTTTTTAATACCGCGTGGTACTCTACTACTCATTCCATTCGCGCAGAATCACGCTCTGACATGTTTGGTGCTATCAGGTAACTGCTGCTACGTGGGCGTATGTCCATGTAGCACCAGTCATGATAGAAAAACTGAACACAAGTTCAGACTTGCAGTGCACATGTGCACAGAATATTTCAGAGTCATTGAATGCATGGGCTTTAATGCCGGAGTTAAGTAATTTTGCGTGTTTTATACCGCGTTGCGAAGAGTTTATGACTGTCAGACACAAAGTAGAATGTAGAGAATTAATTTCTCTACATTCGGATATGTAATAAGTCAATTCTAACCTTATGGAACGATTTTTAAAATGGTTTGAAGAAATCGTCTTGTTTTGCTCGACTGCATCTTACTGCCAATCGAGGGTGGTGGCAGTATAATAGGTGATTTGGGATTTTTAAGGAGAGCTTTACCAAAACGATCCAAATCCCAAGGTTTTCCCAATGCCTTAAAAACGATCCAAATCCCAACGCCTTAAAACGCTTGCCTCAGCTTTCCTTGAACACTTCCTGAATTTTATTGAACACTTTGAATACCAAATTGTAGAAAAATTAATTTCCTACATTTTGGTATGAAGTGAGCAGGTAATATGGCTCCAGAAAACGCAGTAGGAACGCAAAAGGCTTGTACCACTACATACGCCTATGTAAAATGTGACTCTGAAATATCAGCCGCGCAAGTGTCGTACAGGGAATTTGTCAGGCCCGTCTGCACAAGATTAAAGCTCATTCACAAATTCATAGAAGCAGAAACACCACTTGGTAAGTTGGTGGCACTGGAGGTAGAAACTACCGGGTAGAAAGAGGTGCGTTACGAATAGAACGGGTACAACGTCCGGACGGATGAACCGTCCGCTGGTCCAACAAAACATCCACCATAAAGTTTGACCACCCCGTTTTTTCTACTTTTCGTAGAAAACGTAGATAATTCAGGTGGAGGTTTCAGGAGAGAAGGGTCCTCGAAGAGAGACTGGCTTATGTGAATCTGTACACAATTTGCGCATTCAAGATACGGACTGGACTCCGTGCGGCTATTGAGCATGAACGGCTAATCACCGTTCGAGGACGCCAGGATTCGGCCATTCCAGTTCCTAACTTCTTTATGAGAAGACTCGCCCGAAAATTCTATGTGGAAGTGAATTACAAGCACATCATGGAAGCGCTGTTTTGTGTCATCTAATGTATATCGACGAAATGAAGTACGAAAAGGACCAACTCCAGTTTATTAACAACACAACGCTGCAGGACTTCAAATGCTATCACTCGATTTTTGTCTGTCTGCTTATGTGCTTTTGAGTGGTCACATTTCGAGAAGATCGAGCAGTGTAGTCTGTGGAGTTTTCGGTGCTTTACTAGTTTAAAAACAGTAAGTACCAGTACTGCAGACCGTGAACTACTTTTTATTAATTACAGTACATGTTCCACGATTTACGAACACCGTTTTTTTCATGTTTACACAAAAGCGCGTTCAGATCATTTGGCGACCTATTGAATGTAAGTTATGTAATTAAGACGGTAGTACGAAATAAATGTCTGGCAGTGCAGGAAGGTGATGGTAATGTTATAATGGACATATAATATTATTATATATATTTCAGCACCGATGTACCGCAAGATCATAATGCTAAACATGCACTGCAACGCCTGTTAAAAATGACGCTCAGCTCGAATTAACAGTAGTCCCGC